GAAGCTTCACTTCTGGTATCCTGGGTATCAGACACACACACATACATGCACACACACGCACACATGCACACACACACATATCACAGATAAAGAAGCTGAAGCAATGAGCAGGCCTGAGCAGCAGTCTCACAGGGCCTATTCCAGTCAATGCCTGCAGACCTCATTGCATAGTCATTATTCCACAAAGGGAGTCCTCAGGAGGCTTCCCTGCAGCCCAGTCCCTCCGGAAGCTTATCTGCTCAGGCAGAAGGGCAGCAGTTTGAACAGAAGAGCATCTGCACCCTGAGAACACCATAGTCCTCTCAGCATTAAACCCCAGGCCAAGGGCACTCTAACAATCCCTGAGTCCTCCCTCGTCAAGCAAGTCAAGGACCAGAGAAAGAATGTTCTGTATGAGTCAACCAGCAAAGCTGCACCCAGGGAACCCAAAGCCACTTGAAACAGGAGTAAGTGTTTGTGCATGAGGCAGCCTTCTGCAGGGACTGACACGGGCCCACTTCTCCAAGGGTGTGCAATACTAAGGGTGAAGGAGTGTAAGGGACTGACCTGGGGTCCTGCAGCCTGGGCCGCCAGGGCTGCTTGTGCGTGTGCTGCTGCAGCTGGCTGCACAGCCTCTGCAGAGCTGCCTCTTGCTCTTGCTGCTGATGACCCAAGGCGTCTCGATAGCTGGATGGGAGGAATATCACTCTTGGTGAGGCTCCTCTTCAGGTGAGACTTGATATGAGGCTAGCGGAAGTCAAACTAAAAACAAGGATCACTTTAATTATTTCATTTGGCCAAAAGATCCCTTCTGGGAAATGATTCCTTTGTGCAAAAGGCCTCAAATAGATGTTTTCAAGCAGAACTGAAGCTTGGATTTCAGGCACCAGAGGATGGTAGCCTCCGGTTTTCTCTGGTTCAGAAACCACTTGGCTTCTCCCCTATTGAAGAAAGGTCCTCCCAGACCATTGCAGGGTGGAGGTGGGACTCTCCTGTGGAGTTCACATGGCTGTGAAGGGTAACAGTGAACCACACATTGAGGCCCGGCATGATGCCAATCAGCTTATATGTGTGATGGCACGAGATCCTCACAGGGGCCTCTGGACCATAGAGTCAAACACTGGTGACTCGCCAAAGGTAACTGACACAGCTGGACTTAAGTGGGCACCTTTGTAAAGGCCAGCCTGTGCTCTTGGCAAATTTGCTATCTCTGACCAGATGCAGATTTAGAAGTTATACAGTCCAACCCCCTCTAATACCACACATTGATTTTTAAAAGAGATGAATTCAGAAGTTAGGGAACTTGTTGAAGCCTCCATGGACAGCTTTTAAGAACCACAAACACCCAGACCCTTGGTCAAGGTGAGGCCTGCCCTTTCCATCACCCCGCCCTACCTGTCTTAAGCTACGCAGTTTCTGGCATAATTTTCTTCTGCAAGCAGGAGAAACTATGCAAGCCCAGGCTTAAGATGAAGATGAAGATAGGAGTCAGCATGGGGCTTAATAACCAGGGACCTGGCTCTGGCCCAGGACCACCCACCTCCCACCACTCACTCTGTGTTTTGCGACCTGAAAGCAAAAGGTTCAGGAACTTGACCCAGTGGTTGATCTTCCCAGGAGAAGGAATTCTGAACGGGTAAGAGAAGGTGATGCCTTAGTATTTTGAATTTGAGGATACGAAGAACATGTTCAGACAGCATCTGTGATGGTTTGAACTACCATTTGGCATCAGAATGACTTTAAACTTCAGGCCACCAGAAAGGGACCCTTTAGTGAGAAGTCACATGTCTCTTTAGGCAAACCTTATATATTGATATTTTCAGTTAGCAATTTGAGTAGAGACTGACTTTTTAAATGACAGGATTCACCTGAATTACTTTAAAGTCATTCATTCATTAAATTGGTAAATATTAAACATGAGTTATGTGCTAAACCAGGCACTGTGATGCCAGGATGTATGGGCTGGGTGCTGCTATATCCCTCAAGGAGATGCACTTAAGCTGAGTGCTTACGTAAATGAAATAAATTTCAGAAACAAATGCAATGTATAAAATAGAGTACGGTACATACATTAAACACTGGTCAGAAAAAAGAGACAAGGAGAGACAAGTGAATCCATGTGAGGCTGAAGCTGGCCTTTTGGGCTGAGTCAGGCTGGCAAGGGTTTCCCAGACTAGCTTGTGCTGAAACTCATCTGTGGTACTGCGTCTGGAAGATGCCCTGGTGTGGGGATCGTGCACCACCTAGCGTTGGCATAAGCCACTGCACATACCACAAAAGTGGGAAGGAAGGTGCCCGCCCCACCAAGAAATTTGTGGAGCTCACCGTTTTTAAGTGCACTGCCAAATGCCATAAATGCTCACATATGTTATCTCATCTAGCCTGCATTACAGCCTATGAGGTCGATATTGTCATCACCATGTGACTGATGAAGCTGCAGAGATTCAAAAAGGTTTAGCTATTTGATCAAGTTCCCCCGAACTAAGGGCCAATGCAGGGAATTCAACCTCCCTCCCCCATACTCTGTTAACCTCCTAGCCTTTCTGGTGTAGGGGAAAGGATTGGACGTCTCATGACCAGGCTTAGAATTATTGGATGATGGTTCAGCTTCTCAGGATAGGACCTGGATGCCATGGCAGATCCTGCAGGGACCAGCCCTTGCCTGCCCCAGCGGCCTTGGTTCTCTTACAACAGAGTTAAGCTCCGGCTTCTCTGAATCTCTTGCTGTGTTCCAAGGACTCCATTTCATCCCTTGCTTTAGTGTCTTTTTTTTCCCATGTGGAGCGCCCTCCATCTGGAACATCACTGTCCCTTTATTTTCCTATCTAGCGCCTCTTTCCCTTAAGATGGTTAAAGGGAAACCTGCCAGGAAGCCTCCCCTGGCCCTCTCAGGTTGTGCTAGATGCCTCTCCTCTGTGTTTCCACAGCACTGTGTGCATTCCCACGTCACACTGCACCACAGACCACGCGTCAGTCATCTCCCACCCTCCAGGAGACTGTGAGCTCTGTATCCCCAGTGCCTAGCAGATGCCTGACCCATTGCAGGAACTTGAGAAATGTCTTCAGGCAAATGAATGTTTGAATGGCTGGATGGAGGGGCAGAAGGATGAGATGAAAGCTTGCTGCCCAACTGGCCTCAGCATTCCAGGGTCTCATCAAGTGCCACGTGCTGGCCAGCCAAGTTCATCAGCAGAGCCAATCAGGATAGAACCCCAGTGGGACAGGATTCACCTAAATTACTTACAAGTCTAGTGGAGAAAGGTTGCGTTCTAGACTGCATTCTTATCCTGCCTTCTCACTGTTAGTGTCAGGTCACTTCTAGATCACAACCTAATTCCCAGCAGTTTCTGGAACAACTGCTGGTCAGTACTCAGTCTCTCAGGGTTGCTTGGTCAATGGTCCTGAAAACCCCTAGCTGGCAACCTGGAGCTCTGTTGAATCAATGGGCTGCTTCTGAGGTGACAGGGAAGCAGAGGACAGAGCTTTAATAATGAGATGGCCACTTTCTCAGAGGTCCCTGCCTCTGAGTCCCTGCATTGGAGACTGGAGTGGCCCTCCTGGTGCCCCACTTCAAGGAAGTGGTTTGATGCATTCAGAAAGAGGATGTGGAAGAAGAAGAGGAAAAGAGAAATAGAGTATAAAACCGTGGGTGTTTCACTATGTCTTCTAAAAACCAAAATAGCAATAAGTAATAGTAGCTGTAGAAATTATTCATTGTATCTAAGGGGAAAAATTGGAGCTTCATTCATTGGGTTGAAGCTCCAACAACCTGCTGGCATTATCTAATCTTCACAATGACCCAGGGATGAAGGCATTTGGGGTTCCATTTTACAAATGGATAAACTGAGGTCCAATGTCACACAGCTAGACTGTGTCTTCCCACCTCTCCTCTCTTTCATTTCTGTTGGATTCTGTAGACTCTCTGTCCTCAGGACACTGGAGAAAAGATGGTAACCCAGGACCTGAGACCAGTAACCCCAAAGGGCCATCTTTGCAGAGATCCCGAGAGCTCGACACACAGCCTGCTCCTCCACGATGCCCACTTTTACCTACTCATCACTCACAACACTCATTTCCTCCTTTCCTTCATTATAAATCTAAATACGTATACTTCATTGGGGAAACATCAGGTTGAAAATCCTGGAAGCCAAAATCATTTCTCTAACTCAATACAGCAACGGCAGGAAAGCAGTGCTATTTACAGCCAGCCATGGACTGCCTTGCTTCAGGCCCCATCTGCAATCTAAAAGGTTCTCTTTGGATAACTGAAGTTTTATACAAAACATGAAAGAAGAAACAAAACCAGGGATAAATAAATGGTAGTTATTTTCATCCCCTCTTGTCCAGGTAGAGTCCTGTTTTCCTGAGATTGTGACAGCCTGGAACAGGCCTCACTTTGATATGCCCTCCCTGCGTGGGCTGGACTTGATAACCCAACCTCTGGATTCCTTGACCTTACCCTCCTTGGCACTGGCAGGTGATTTCCTCGCTCCTCCCTGGCTGCACTTTCCACTTGTTCTTATTCATGGCAGACTTTCTGCTTTCGATATTCCAGAACTGCTGATGCTCACCTCCCAGCCCTTCAGCTGACATCACCCTGGTGCTTGCCCAGTTTCTCCTGCCCCAGATCTCTATTTCCTCCCCCTTTCCCTGGAGCAACAGAAGATGGGGAAGTGTGGTGGGAGTCGGGAGGTGGCTCTGCCCCGTGGTCTTCAGTACTCAGTACTCAGTACTCAACTTTGGGGGTATAGGAGAGAATCTGCAGGAAGGGGGTCAGCAAAGACAGGTCATCTTTGAGTTGCCACAGTGCAGATACTGGACTCAGGAGAGTGAGGCTAACACCTGAGTGACATAGGACCATGCAAACCACCCACTGAGAAGCCAGCAGAGAGGCTCTCAGGCTTAAACAATATGGAGATAGATCTATCTGCACCAACACAAGCCGCACACTATAGTCTAAATGTTGTGAACAAGTTCACGGTGTCACCCTCCCATCACCCAAAAATATCTCCAAAACTGTCTTCATGGGCCAAGACAAAATTGTTTTATTAAAACAGCTATTTACAATGGCAGATTTTAAAGACAAAGATACAAATAAGTAGATGGATATAAAAATCTGTAAAAGGTTACAAATACATGATCATCTTTTATAAAATCAACAATATTTCATGTATCTAGCACTTTATGGAAACCCGTTTTACCTTCTATCATTTGGAATAAATGAAGGGTTTTTTCCCTAAATAAAATACTTTCCTACCTCTTAAACTGTGCTTTCAAAGTGCTCCTTTCTTCCGGTACAGTACTCATGTGACAGGTGCTCAAATCTCCTTTAGTCCTTCTGCCAACGGACACACTTTTATCACTTCATTCAGCTTCCTTCCTGAGTCTGCTATGGACTTGGAAATCAAACAGCCACGTTGGTTACAATTGTTTGTAAGTTAAAATTAAATAGAATACAGGTTGAGTATCTCTTAACTAAAATGCTTGGAACCAGAAGTGTTTCAGATTTCAGGATATCTGCATTATAGATTTGTCAGCTGAACATCTCAAACCCAAAAATTCAAAATCCAAAATGCCCCAATTTCCTTTGAGTTTCATGTCTACTCTCAGAAATTTTAGATTTTGGAGTATTTCAGATTTGGGGTTTTCAGATCTGGGATGCTCAACCTGTAGTAATAAATGGCTCTGAGGTGCCAACTTATGAATAAATTGCATTGACTTTGGAAAAAGGCCATTGTTCTGGTTTTGCACCTGTATTCTGGGTTCGGAGGGATGAAACAAACAAAGTGTATCGTGGTACTTCAAAAAATCAGATATACCAACCACCCGCTGATTGACTCTATAATTTAGCACGGGTTTGTTTTTGTTCTTTGAAGTAGATAGTCAGAGAATTTCTGGACGGATTTGAAATGGATCTGATAGTCTATAGGTCAAGTGAACAGACTGACACCTGTCACAAGCAGGAAGCCCTTTGAGAACTTAGGTGTTCTAAACCTACTGGGTTCCCCCAAATCCAATCATATGGAGGTATTGTCGGCAGAAGACTACCCCATGATCTCAGATGCCAGAGCCAGCCCACCCCATCTGGACTCTGGCAATTCTCTTATTGTCTGTGTTTCTGAAAACCCACTATATCCCTAACTCCATCCCCAAACAGCTGAAACTTAGCCTATGTCTCTACTAATTTGCAAATGCTGGGACTAAATGTCTAAGGATATATCATTCCCTCTCCAGACCTTAAAACCTAGATGATTACCCCACATGTGAGAACATATGGCATGTCTAAAGTCACTTGAGTTTGCAGCCACAGAGGCAGTGTTGTATAGAGGCTAAGCACACTAGCTCTGGAGTCAGAATGCTTAGGCCATGTCAGGTAATATCTCTGCTTGTGACAAGGTTGTGGCCTCAGGGAAGGATGGCTAGCTTTGACAAATCTGATGCAATCTTTACTTCCTCCCTTCCCTTTCTGCATGCTGGCCATGCAGGGGGAGGGCTGCAGAGGAGAAATATTCCCAGCTGAGAAGGTGACGACTAGTGAGGCAGTCCTGAAGATCAGTAAGTAGGGTGGGCACGGGTTGGTCTCAGCCAAAGGCTGCTCTTGGGCCACAAGCAGAGTCTTCAGTGAGGGCAGGCGAGACTCAGCCTTCTCAGGAGTACAGTGCCATCATCATCCACTGGACATGTTGGGAAAGCAAATGATGGTCAGTTCAGACCCATGTCTCATCTGGGCCTCCCCACCCCACACTCCTGGGGAGCCGTGGAGACAGAACATTAATGGATGGTTTAGCTAGAGGGACTATACCATCCATTAGGAAGTATAAATCAATCTGAAATATAATCAGCCTTGACTTCTCACGGTGCCTATGAATGATGACAGCCAAATACAGGCTGATTTTGTATTCAATTCTCAATGAATTTTTTGCCCATGAATTCAATTTGGCATGCTCGTGCCAGCTCTGGGCAGGTGTGCAAACTGGCAGGGTAGCAGAAATCCATTAAAGCATATTCTACATGTTTACATTTATGGGCCCCTTGGTCTGACAGCTTTATGTGGGTGTGATGAGCAACCCCTCTAACTCATATAGAGGGGATCTCTGGGGAAACCACTCCCCAGGCCAATCCCTCAGAATGATAAAGCTGAGAATAGTGAAGTTACCAACGGTGTCAGAGAAAGCCTCAGCGTGAAATCCAACGAGGTGGCTGCCATTCCCTACAGACCTTGGGTGGTCCTGATCCTTACTGAGCCAAAGCTGGTCAGAGCTGGAGGCAATCTCAGAGACCACCTAGTTCCACTCATTTCACCTGTGGGCAGCTGAGGCCCAGAGATTTAAGGTGATTTGCCTAAGGTCCCGCAGCTAGTTACAAGAAGTGTTGTGGCTTCAACCCATTCTCAGACCCCAGTGCGGTTCTCTTCCTGTGATAGCTCTTTGCCCACTGGACCCTGCTCAGTTTTGGACTGTCCTATTTCGGGTGCCACACTTGTGTTGTCCTATTCTCCCAGACCGGAGCCTGCCACTATGGAAGGATTGCCTGGGATCAGGAGTGATGCCCCAGCACTCAAGTGTGGGGCTAAGCAGTTCAGGGATAGGCTCTGAAAATTCTGGCCATTGGCCCTCCAGTAGAATCCCACTTCACACCGAATCTTGGAGGGATTGAGGGGTGACACAGGCTGCAGGTCCCTACAGCTTGGAAAGCAATTCCACAAAATGGACATTTGAGATCAAGAAAGACATTCCAGCTTTGACTGAATCATTTCTAAGCGGCCATATCAGAGGAAGGGTTGCAGAATAAAAGAGCAGAGGATTGAACTCCAGACTCCAATGTCCTTACAATGAACATTACCTAGCGCTACACCTGGCACCTAGCAGCTGCTCAATGAATCAATGCATTTTGAATGATCAGGGAAGATAATCAGTTTCATACATGAATTTGTCTTCTCCTAGGCATATCACCTCATTCATTCAACACATCCTGCTGTGTCTGCAAAGTGATATGAAAGAGGAGGAAATGGCTTGGCCGTGTGACTTGCTTTGGACAACAGAATGACTTGCAGGTGTGCCAGACTGGAGCCTTGGTTTCAGAGGCCTAGTGTGTTTAAGCTCTCTTTCTTGTGTTTCTCCCATTTCCCTGGAAAGAACAAACCTAGGCAGAGTTTCCTCAATTCAGGTACCCAGCAAAACCCTCAGCTAACCCATTGATACATGAGCAAGTCAGCTGAGATCCACTGACTCCCAGCCATGTGACTCAGAAGCTAAATAAGTGCTTATCATATATATGTTGCTGACGTTTTGTAAATTTGTCACATGGCATTATTGCAATCAGAGTTATTGGATACACCTTTCATATGTGCCTGGCACAAAGTGGGTGCTCAGAAAATATTTGATGGATGAATGAATGAATGAATGAGTGCAATGAATGTAGTGCTCAATTTCAAATTCAGCAGAATAAGTCACCAGAGCCCTTCTCCTTCACATGGTCCTGCAAGGGCCACCTCTACCTAAGATGACATGAGCCACCTCCTTGGGGCAAGTCTTACCTCTGGCTTCTGGAGGTATATCCCTTTGCCATCTTGGGTTAAGTTTTGGAAGACATCTGTGAAAATGCAGCAGAAAGGAACACAGTTAATGTGTGTATTGGAAACATTATGAATTCGTTCCTCCCACATATCTCACCTTAATCACATCCATTCTGAAAACGTGAGGGAACCCAATGTCAGCCTACATGTGACCACACGCAGCCACACCTATGACAAGTGAGCCACTTCAAGCCTATGTCTCTGGAACAAGGCAGGGAACGAATGAGTTTGGGTATCTGCAGCCAGGGATCACAGGCACTTGGCTGGAGGTCCCCATAGCTTCCCTGGTCTGCCGTTTCTGGGATGGCAGCTGTCCTCCCTCGTGCTTAAACTAGGGACAGGTGGGAAGTCATGGGGCAGCAGAGGAAGACCTGGCCTCCCCAACTTCCTGCCAGCTCACCCTCCATGTTCTCTACACGCAGCATCAAGTGGACGAAGCTGACAAAGCTCATCTGGAGGCGGGGGCAGCCGTAGCGGACGAGCATCAGCTGACAGACGTCATCACTGAGCACGATTCCTGCATTAAGCACAAGTTCCTGCTGTGGGTGCTGGGGGCTTACACCCAGCTCCCCTCCTGCCCAAGGCCCCTTCAATTGTCCCTCCAGTTTAGGGACCTGAATCCGGATAGCATGGAAATCTTTTATAGGGTTCATTTTGAATTGTTTAATTGTTTAACCAATTTATTTTATTTAATCCCTACTCCTCACCCCTGCCTGTTAAGGCAATCAGCATGAGGCTCTTTTCATCAAGTACGTTACTGGCCTTCAAGGAAGGAGGCAGTCTGCTAAGTGCTCAAAAGTACCTGCTTTGGGGCCCGGTAGTCCTGGATTTAAACCCCAGGCAACTGAGCTTCAATTTCCTCCTCTGCGAAGTGGGGATTATAACAAGGTGGTGTTGAAGATTAAATGAGAAGTTGAATGTGCCAACCCTCCATCAATGTTGGCTAGGATCACAGTGACAATGATAAAAAATGTTGGTGTTGATTGCAGATCTACATCTTTGAGAGCCACACTGCATGTCAGAGTTACTTCAGCACGCCACGCATCTCCTCTCCTCTGCCTGGTGAGTGTGCACCCTGCCCATGTGTGCCCACAGCTCCAGCTCTTCCTGTGCCTACCTGCCTCCTTCATGGCAGCACGCAGCTGTTCCCAGTTCAGGTATCCTGACCCATTGTCTTGCTTGTGGAAAACCTTCTGCAAAGAACCAAATAAGAGGTTCAGGAAGCCAGGCATTTCCAAGCACCATGTGAGAGCCCCTGTGTGTCCCCTGTCAGCACTGCAGAGGGGCTGTTGAAGATATCTGAGGCTCCACATGCAGGGCCTGCTGCCAGGGTAAGAATATGGCAGAGTCCATGCTGGGATCCTACCACCTTATGTTTCCTACAGAGCAAGGTTTCTGAAAAACAGAAAAGTCTTTTTCTCATGGGGTATAGACAGTCTTGGTGTGGGTAAATGTGCTTAATGTAAGCACATTATCCACACTTCAAAGTGATTCCAGCTTTCTGACTTAGGAGACAAGTGGGAGAGTTGTGAGCAATGATTGGAAGAGCAAGAAGGAGCAAATTTATGAAAGACTTTAAATTCCAAGTGTGCCAAGGAGTTTGGACTTTCTCTGAAGTCCAGTCTTAAAAAGCTTTTTGTAAGGAAGCAGCATGATTAGATATGTGTTTTGAAACTTCAGGAGACCACTGCAACCAGCTCTCTGAGCTTGGAAGAGAACGATGAAGAAAGTGCTCACTGAAGGGAGAATAGAGGTTTGGTGAGTTGGATATAAAGGGCTGCAGGCGAGAGAAGTATCTTCTACAGCTTTGCAGAACTGCCATTCCTACACCATCTTCCAAAGAGGTGTGGTTAAGACTTGTTCTTACCTGATAGAGCTTCAGCTGCTTCCACAGATCCCTGAATTCCTGGATGCTCATAGTACCCGACGCATTAAGCTGATTAATAGGTTAAGGTAAAAGCTGCCAGGGAGAGTTTCATCCATGCTTTGGAGGCAGTGATCAGCCCTCCACAAAGTGATGTGCAATTTGTGGATGGCCTCATTCAATGTCTGATCGTGTCTGATTTTGCTAGTTGGCCTCACCTCGCTGGCCAGTCCAGCCCAGGGCTCCCTCACTCTTGCTAGGAAAAGACAGAATGAGCCCAGAGCACAGCAGCACTGGGAGAAGTGATGATGATGGAGGTGATGATGGTGATGATCACAGCTAGCATTAAGTGAGGCAGAATTTTTTTAATGCTATGAAATGTTACCTTTTGTTATTATTGGTAGAGTACCAGTAGTATTAATAGATAGTGACATACTTTTAATACACACGAAGTCTTTTATATCTAAACATAAACAAATTAAATATGACATATCCCACTGCCTCTTCCTTTCACTCCTACCTTTTTCTTCTTAGCATCCTTTATTGAGTTTTTAATATATATACTTTAAGTTCTAGGGTACATGTGCACAACATGCAGGTCTGTTACATATGCACACATGTGTCATGTTGGTGTGCTGCACCTGTTAACTCATCATGTACGTAAGGTATATCTCCTAATGCTATCCCTCCCCACTACCCCCACCCCACAACAGGCCCTGGTGTGTGATGTTCCCCACCCTGTGCCCAAGTATTCTCATTGTTCAATTCCCATCTATGAGTGAGAACATGCGGTGTTTGGTTTTCTGTCCTTGCAATAGTTTGCTCAGAATGATGGTTTCCAACTGCATCCATATCCCTGCAAAGGACATGAACTCATCCTTTTATATGGCTGCATAGTATTCCATGGTGTATATATGTTAATTTTCTTAATCCAGTCTATCATTGATGGACATTCGGGTTCCAAGTCTTTGCTATTGTGAATAGTGCTGCAATAAACATACATGTGCAAGTGTCTTTATAGCAGTATGATTTATAATCCTTTCGGTATATACCCAGTAATGGGATGGCTGGACCAAATGGTATTTCTAGTTCTAGATCCTTGAGGAATTGCCACACTGTCTTCCACAATGGTTGAACTAGTTTATACTCCCACCAACAGTGTAAAGCATTCCTATTTATCCATATCCTCTCCAGCATCTGTTGTTTCCTGATTTTTCAGTGATTGCCATTCTAACTGGTGTGAGATGGTATCTCATTGTGGTTTTGATTAGCATTTCTCTGATGACCAGTGATGACGAGCATTTTTTCATGTGTCTGTTGGCTGCATAAATGTCTTCTTTCGAGAAGTGTCCATTCGTATTGAGGCAGAATATTTTGACATGGCCAATTTGATGTGATTTAAATTTTAAAAATAGTAATCTTTTTTCATTATTGTTTTAAAAACCAGCTTATGGAAGGAGTCAGGCACAGGGTCGCTAAGGATGCCTTTCACATGTTTTTTAAGTTTAATGGTTGGCTTTGTAGACCATGCCCAGAGGCCCCTAGCATCAGAGACATTGGGTCAAAGTACCACCACACCCCATCTCTGTTTGAGCCCTCACCATGAATCCATCACTGAGTTACACACTTCACCTGTAGCAGGTGAGGTCGGCATTAACTCCCCCATCTTCTAGTTGATGAAATGAGCACTTGGAGAGGGTCTGATCTTGTTCAAGTTCATACAGCTGGTGACAGAGCTGGGCCCTGCCCCATGCCTGTACACCTAATCCTGCACTGTCTCTCGGTTTCTGTAGACTGTTTTTGTTTTTACAACCCCCCTTAGGCTATCTATTCAATATGCCTCTCCATAGTATGGATGATCAAACATTGATTACAATTAGCCACTTAGAAAAGGAGTGCGTTTACTAGAAAAATTGCAGGGCTGAGAAACAGGACAGCTGAGTTTGTGGCATATTGTTTAACTTCCCTTAGTCCTGGTTTCCTGATCTGTGCATGGGGGCAGCCACCACCTAGTTATTAAATGGAAAACATAGGGTCCCAAGTCTTTTGCAAAGGCTCTTGTAAACCTGGAGAGCTGTTACTAACCACCACCTTCTAGCTGCCTCATCCTCATTCCCAGGAAATGACATTATTGTGATAGATGGCTAATATTGGTCACCTATTAGACGATAACTCTGACCCCAGCATTTTACCTGTATTATCTCATTTGCATTCCCACATTAATCCTACCAAGTAAGTTTCAACACTCTCTCCATGCTTCAGATGAGCATCTGGATGCATAATGAAGTTCAGTGACTTGTCCAGGATCCCACAATGAGCAAGGGGTGGGGTTGGGATTCAAATCCACTCTGTCTAGCTCCAGAGTGAAGCTCTCAACCGACAGCAAGCATCCACCCACAGACCTGAAAGGATACGTCCAGTAAGGCCAGGATACCCTGGCAGGCTTCCAGGCTGAAGAAGGGCTGTCTGGTCCCCAGATCTGTGAAGGAGCAGAAAGAGTTCACATGGGGGCTGGCCCCAGGTCTGCACACCCCTTTTCTGAGCAGGAGGAGGCAGTGCTGCGTGGGCCAGCTGTGGGGTCTGATGACCAAAATGTACATGGGCTTGGAAGAGTAAGAACGGAAGGCAGTAGAGAGACAGGGGGTGATGGTCATTCCTACACCCATGGAGAAAGTCAAATGCTGTAGGGGACGCCTGGTATGGCTTGGGTTTGCTTACACAGAGGGCCAAATGAACATGCCCTTTGTACCTAGGGAGGGCCAGGATCACAGAGTCGAACTCCCAAATCTCAAAGAGATCCAAGAGGTCAACTTTTTCAAGCTCCCACCTGAATTGGGGGATTCTTTCCTCAGGTTTCCTTCCTTCCTTCCTTCCTTCCTTCCTTCCTTCCTTCCTTCCTTCCTTCCTTCCTTCCTTCTTTCCTTCCTTCCTTCTTTTGAGAGGGTCTGATTTTGTTCAAGTTCATACAGCTGGTGACAGAGCTGGGACCTGTCCCATGCCTGTACACCTAATCCTGCACTGTCTCTCGGTTTCTGCAGACTGTTTTTGTTTTAACAACCCCCCTTAGGCTATCTATTCAATATGCCTCTCTATAGTATGGATGATCAAACATTGATTACAATTAGCCACTTAGAAAGGGAGTGCGTTTGCTAGAAAAATTGCAGGGCTGAGAAACAGGACAGCTGAGTTTGTGGCATGTTGTTTAACTTCCCTTAGCCCTGGTTTCCTGATCTGTGCATGGGGGCAGCCACCACCTAGTTATTAAATGGAAAACATAGGGTCCCAAGGCTTTTGCAAAGGCTCTTGTAAACCTTTCTTTCTTTTCTTTTCCTTTCTTCTTTCTCCTTCCTTCCTTCCTTCCTTCCTTCCTTCCTTCCTTCCTTTCTTCCTTCCTTCCTTCCTTCCTTCCTTCTTTCCTTCCTTCCTTCCCTCCCTCCCTCCTTCTTTCTCTTTCTTTTCCTCTTTCTTTCTTTTTTTCTTTCTTTCTTTCTCTCTTTCCTTCTCTCTTTCTTTATCTCTCCTTCTCCTTCTCCTCCTTCTCCTTCTCCTTCTTCTCCTTCTTCTCCTTCTTCTCCTTCTTCTCCTTCTTCTCCTTCTTCTTCTTCTTCTTCTTCTTCTTCTTCTTCTTCTTCTTCTTCTTCTTCTTTCCTTCTCTCTCTCTCTGTCTCTTTCTTTCTTTTTTTTTTTTTTGTTTGGAGCCTCATTCTGTCGCCTAGGTTGGAGTGGCAGAATCTTGGCTCACTGCAACCTCCGCCTCCCAGGTTCAAGCAATTCTCCTGCCTCAGCCTCCTGAGTAGCTGGGATTACGGGAGCGCGTCACCATATTCGGCTAATTTTTTATATTTTTGGTAGAGACAGGGTTTCACCATGTTGGCCAGGCTGGTCTCAAACTCCTGACCTCAAGTAATCCGCCCATCTCAGCCTCTGGGATAACAGGAGTGAGCCACAGCGCCCAGCCCTCCCCAGGTTTCTTGATGGATGGTCTGTCAGTTACGGGTGCTCACTTTTTCACATGGGTGAAGAGCTTCAGTTAGGAGAAACTTCTTTCATTAAGTCTAAAGGAACCTCCTATAATAGTGGCTCACTGGTCCTAGTTTCACCTCCAGAAAAGCATAAAAGGTATTTGTCTCTTCTTTGACTTCTGCTTTTGCTTCTAAACATCTGAATATTTCCCAAACTACTCCTCAGATGCAATGGTTTCTAAACCCTCGACACCCTTTTCTGAGCCCTATATTTTGCCAGTATCTCTTTGAAATATGGTACCAAGATTTGAACACAGTCTTCCAGATGCAATTTGATTGAACAGAATACAGTACACCTATCACTTCCAGTTTTCAGTCAGCATTTCCCAAATTATGTTTCAAAGGAGATTTTCTGCAGAGAAAGAGTTTTGTGGTCAAAGAAATGTGGGATACTTTGCATCTATTGATGCTTTTCTTCATTCGCCATGCACTTTACTGTATGTGAGGTACATATTGTACAATTGACCACAGAAGCTAACCCCTTTTATTTCATGGAACACTTACTAAACCTCTTGGTTTCTAACGTTTCCAGGAACACAATTTTAAAAACACTCATCTAAATGCTCCCATTAAATGCAGCCTGAATTTGTATGAGCTTATTTAGCAGCAACTTGAAACAATTAGTTCATGTTAGCTAGAGGTCAACTAAATTAACCAAATATCTTTCACATAAACTGCCACAAAAATGAGGTCTCTTCTGTTAAGAACTTGCGCTACCATTTTAAAATGGTCTACATCAAAATGGCAGTGGTTTATTATCTTCCTGACTGCATTTCATCTTTTTGGTTTGGGCACAGCTTGTTGAAAACATTCTGAATTTCAATTCTGCTATCTATTATATTAATGATTTCTCCCAGCTTTGTGCCATCTGCAGCTCCAATAAGCCTATATTCCATGTCTTCTTCCAAGACATTAATAAAAATTGGGGAAATGAACAGGACCAAGGGCAGATGGAATTTAAGAACTCTCATCTAAACATCTAAGCATATAGACTTTTGCCTGTAACTGGATAGAATTATCCCTCTAGTTTTATATTTGTATAACTCTTGAGAATGGTGATAAGATTTGTTGTAAATACATCTACTATTATTGTTTTCCAATTCACGTTTTATCATTTATCATGGGAGACTCACCAAATATCTTGCCAAAATCTACAGTATTTCTCTGATCTATCCATCTAGAACCCTCTCATATGACTAAATGAAAGCAATTTGTTCATAAATGCTTTGGAAAACCATTTTGTATATATGCAATCAAGGCCTTTAAAAACTTTTAAATGTGCACAAGACATTTCTTCTAGGTAATTTCCCTAGAATGAACCTAGAATTTATTTTCAGCCGGGAGGGGGAGTCTTACGTTCTACAATTCCTAGAGTCTTCCCTCTGCCTGTTTTACTGATAACTGAATTTGGCTTTGAGAAGCCTTCTGCAAATTCTTTCAAACCCTGAATCACACAATAGCCAGGACTGTAATTTGTCTGGATTTGAAATCTTGGCTTCATAGAAAGAAGAAGCAATCATCTAACTTTGGTAGCAAATACTCTAGTTGTTTTACATTTTTTACTTTGAAGTTCATTCGTCTCCCTGGAGAAATCAGCCTATTTCTTCTGTGTTCTTCTCACTCCAAATATATGTACAAAATATTTTATATGGACTTTAAGCCTTTCTAATAATTTATCCCAGGCTTCATGTGAAAGCCTCCACGCTACCCATTTGCAGTTCTTCTAGGTGGTGTGTGCTCTCCTTCCAGAGTTTTATAGCTTGATCAATTTAACATGAGTTCATCAGACAGTTCCCTGGGTAAGCTAGTTAATACTTAATATTTATATCCCAGGTTGAGGAAATGGGTGCAGAGAACTGATATGCCACATAGAACTGATAAGCCAAGAAAGAGGTACTCAGTTATTCCTTTCTGACTAGCAAAATGGCAGGAATCTTCATTTTCACTGCCATATATCTCTATACCCAAAGTAAGCAAAATAATAATGATTTTCAAAGCTGCATAAATTTCCTTACTGCTTTTTCAGATCACATAATCCGCCCTTGTGTAAAATACAGCCACAGTTAAGACCAGTGCTCAGTAATTCATACATCCTACCAAGGGAAAGAGAAACAAAGCCAGAGTTTAGAAAAGTTGCATCCCCTCTGAGTCCTACAGAATGGCTCTAAAACACTTACGTGACCAGGTCATCTGGTTCAGGATGTTCTGCAATTGAACTGCATTAATTTCTGGATACTGAATAGAAAGCAGATTGGCAAGAAAAAATAACTGTTACTGAAGGCTCATTAGATAGCAGAAGGGTCATATGACTGGCTATGAAATTAAACTGGGATTTCCTAAGAACTTCACAATGCTTTTTAACTGGGTGCCAACCCCAGAGAATCCTGGCAGAGCATGACTTTTCGGTAGGTTTATAGAGAATAGTGATTCTCAAAGGTGCTATCCAGATGCTTCTGAAGTTTAGTCAACAATTTGGTTTGAATTTCATTCTCAATAAAACGTCATCAGTCAAAACTCCAGATTTTAATCTTAGAGTTTATTAAAAGAAACTCTTTATATGAACATTTGATTTTAAAATATATCAATGAAATATAAGTATCAAACATCTGAATTTTAAAAACTGAAGCATATTCATAATATGCAATTTTTAGTTATTTCATATATATTGGGATTCTCTATGCGACTTCGTTTGATAAAAGGATTGCAGCATCAAATGTCTGGAAACCACTGGTATGGAGGAAAACTTTAATAAACAATACATATAAGATTCTGATTTATCCTCTCCAGCTACATTAAACAAAATTCCAGATGGGCAAGGCAGGTAAATTGTGACTTTAAATCAGGAATGTCACTAACATAAGGAGCTCATGTTCTCTGTTTTAGTGACATTGCTCAAATATCAGACCCCAGATTTCCAGTATGTTTCTCACCCTATTTCTAAGTGTCCTGCAGGTTAGAACAGCGTGGCCTCCAGAGCCCTGCACTCATACTATCAGCCCTTGCTAGACTCACATCTGGGTCAGCCCAAGGGAAGAAGCCGCAGAGACCAAGTGTGTGTCCCAGGCCTTCCCCCTTCTTATCAGTCCCACCTCCTCTCCTGGTGACCACTCAAGGGCCCCTTCTCCATGGGCTCCCCTCCAATGGCCCTCCCCAAGGCCCCCAGGGCTTGTCATTGTCATGCTCTGCACCCTCCTCCCCATCCTACTCCCAACTCTGACACTCTACTCTGCTATATCCCATGTTTTCAGGGATGAAAGATTACAGTTGCTTTCCCTACAACTAATCAATGCAGCTTCCAAGAACAGAGAATCATTTTGCAGGAGACTTCTAGACAATGGCTCTACTCATTTGTCTAAAAACTTGAGGACTTTAATAGAAAGTGGCAGTTTGGGGAATAGGTAGCCTTAAATCACAGTTTCTACGCAGCCTCAAGCAGATACAAACCTATACTTTATAAAATTATATGCTCCACTTTTTCCCCTGCTCTTCCCAACCCCCTGCCCCCACCATACCTGTTCAACTAACCTTTTCAAAGAATTTGGTGAAGAATTCATCCTGCCCTTCATTTTGGTCTTCTATCTCCTATAGGAAGAGACACATAGAAAGACATAATTATTCACCTGTATAAATGGACTTTCGTGCACACCCTAATGTCTCATGGCTTCCAGGCTTCTGAAAACCATGAGCTTGACTTTGCATTGTCTTTAATTTTACACCATAGCATTTACAAACAGCTCTTGCTTCTCCAATTTTCCCTGACTTTGGGGAAATCACAAACAGTGAAATGGACAAAAGAAATACCACATAAAGAGAAGCAGAAGAAAGTAGAGATGTAACTCATACAGCCGGGGCTCTGGACCCTCAGTGACAAGGACCTGATCAGAAGGGTAGTTCTCTACTCTTTGTTGGTGCAAAAACAGCAAAGCCCGGGTACTGTTAGGATACAACGGGTAATGTTTGCCATAGAACAGGGTCTGTAAGGATCTGCATATCTCCTCCCCTGACTCCTTAACTTGAAGAGAGAAACTCAACATCTCATCTTGGAAAGCAGTCCCAGCCACATGGAATTCTACCAGACTACTCACCTTCGAGAAGACGACACCAGAATTGCTGCCAATTTCACTGAGAACAAAAAAACAAAAAACTCAGAGTTTCCTCTTGGGAATTTCTTGGCCAATCTTCCCCCTCTCCTGGGAGCTTGTCTTCCATGTTCCTTCACTGAGGCACCACAAGGGCCCACCCAGCTCTCACACCTCACCTCCTGCTTCCCCTTGAAGTGTACATTCCAGCCATGTGCACAGCACACTGCTTGTAATTCCCTGCACCCTCATCTAACTAGTCTTAACAGATGAGCATGAGACTTAGTGGTCTGACATGGCATTGGGGCCTGCCTGAGATCAAGTCAAACTACCTGCAGCCGAAACATAAAAAACAAACAAACAAACAAACAAAACCAAAAAAAAACACAAAACCTGGCAGGTAAAACAATCATAGGCAAAATAATATGTTTGGTTGGGATATGTGCACATTAATTCAACTGGATACAGTAGCAGAATGGAACCCTGCTAGTTCATGAAAGCCTCCCCTCATTTGAGCAACCCCTTATGCATCTTTTAATAGTCACCCCCTCCCTGAAGCCACTCCTGCTTCCCCCAGGACCATGGGAGTTGGTTCAAATTCTCCTCCTTGAGTATCTTGTAACAATAACACCCTGTGCATACAAAATGCTTACACTGGGTGCACTGGAAGATCAATAACTGCTCATATATCTGTGTTTTTTCCAGACCTTGAACTTCAGTGGGGCAGGAGCCATGCGTGTTTTATCTTTTTCTCTCTAACGTCTAGCATGGCATTAATTTGTGAGTGGAAAGAGGGTGGGAAGGAATGGGAGGGATGTTCTCCATGCAGAAAGTCACCTGGTCTCCTGCTCTCCCCATCTCTCTTCTGTCTCAGCAGCAGAGACCCTGGTCTCTGCCATTTCCAACCTTGCCCTCCTTGCCTGTTCTCACCCAAGTGGTCCCCACCCTCTAGGAGAGACCTTGTGTCCTTACTAAAAGGTGTGCTTCCTGGAGAAGACCCTGAGGATGAACTCTGACTTTTGGTTGGCCTCCGATGCACAGGGCACGATGAGGTATGTCCCTGGTTCCAGACACAGCTCCTGACTCACTTCTTTCTCCTTGAGAAACCTATCAGGCTGGCTCAGAGGAGTGTTTCTCTGGAAGAACTCGGGGGGCAGTCTCCTCTGGTCATCATGGTACTGTGGGTAGAGGACAGAAGAACAGCAGGGGAGGTGATGACCCAGGGCTGTGGCCAGGCCTGAGGCCCTCAAAGCTCTGAGCCAGGACTAAAGTGGCCCCTGCTCTGCCAAATCCAATGTGCCCCAGTGGAGGATGAAACAAGTGGGGAAGGAAGGAAAAACCAGAATATGTGTGTGGAGGGCTGCACCGCTGTTGGAACCTATCAGGGGTTACATAAACACATGTCATTTGATTTGAGACTTACCTTAAAAACAACACCAGCACTAAATGATGTGAGGAATGTCCCTGTGCCTGCCATTTCCATTTTACAGCTGAGGGCTCTGAGGCTTAGAGAGGTGAGATTATCTGCCCAGCGTCATCAGCTGGTTACAGTCCCAGCCTCATCAGAATTCAGGACAGCTGAGTTCCAATGCTCCTGTTCTTTACCCTTCCTGATGCTGCCTCCATGTATGTGATGTAGCATGACTTATGGTCAGATACAGATGGACCACCACCACCTCCCCACCTACAGCACAGAGCTACACATAGATAAGCTGGCACTCTGCATCATCTCAGGGAAAACACCCTTGTAAAGGACAAAGAGAACTGGGCAAGAGCTCGGAAGACCCGAATCAGGGCTCTTGTTCCGACATTTCTTGGGTATCTGCTTTGTTTTATCTGATTCATATTCTCTCTCCTCTCTCTCTCTCTCTCTCTCTGCCTCCTTTGTTTCTCCATCTCTCCCTATTTTTCTCTCGTGCTTCCTCTCCCCTTTGTTCTCACTCAGGGCTACAGAGGGAGAGGAGACCCACACCAGGATCCTCTCTCCAGTTTATATACAACTGCAAACAAAGACATCATCTACCCACATAAACAGATATATAGCAAATTCCTTAACATTTGGGAAATAAAATACATATCCTGATAATGTAGGCATTCTTTTATGAGACAAGAGAACTAGGGAATCATCCAATTGACCTCTTTGCCATGGGCTACTAGGAATCTCAGAGCTAAATTGTACAATGATCCACAGTAGCTGTCCTGGGTTTAGTTTTCCTGGTAGAAGCAACTGCCTACCTAACCCTCAGCTCTTTGTTATTTTTTAATGGCTTTTAAATTTTGTAACTGATTTGCAGGTTTCCTCTGTTCACACCTTTTTATTGTAGGTTGACCCAAATTCTATTTAGAAGTAGGCATGACATAAATAATTTTGTCTTTTGAAATTAATAGGCAAATTTAAGAGTACTCAGTGTTCCTGCGAGAAAAACAACAAAAAAAGACCCGGTGTAAAATGGTTTCTCTACAATAATCCTTTTACTCGATTCAATCCAACCTGAGAAATTTAAGCATTTTGCTCCTGTTTTCTCTGGGAAATAAAATAATAGCTGCCTCCCTCAGAAGCTGGGATTCCTTGGGCCTTCCTCCCTGACCCCTCCTGGCTGCCACAGCAGCTGAAGCACGGAGGTGTTCTTGTCCTTCTACTCACGCTCCTGCCACACGTCCCCAAGCCTTTGTCCCTTCTCCCTAGGGAGGCGGGCTGCATGGTCTTTGATGTCCTGTATGTTTTAAATCCATTTTATTTTGGGTGTCATAACCCAGTCAAGGTTGTAATTTATCATCTTTCCTATGCTGTGGTGGCCTTCAATATTAGCCGTAGGTATTTGTGTAGGAATTCAATAAATTCTAAAATGTATTGGTTCTATGCTAGGCGCTGAGATTTTCCACAGATGCATGAGGATCTCTTGGGGGTCTTCGGATAAAAAAGATTAACAGATACACTTTACTTTCATATACACACAGGCCGTTGGCAGACATTCTCATTATCAGGCATTATCATAGCTTCTTACACAGTATAAGCCTGCTCCAGTCTAACTAAATCCCGTGGAGGCTTGGCCACATGTGATATCACCCCAAACTAGGGCCACCCGGTCAAGTGCAGAACTCACCTTGTTCACCTAAAAAACAAAAACAAAAACAAAAATAAAAAGAGAGAGATCTCATTAGGCAGGGAATCTGGCTCCTCCATAAGCCGAAACCCGAATAGCAGCTGACATACAAGGCTCTACCCAGAAGCCCTGTCCCCTCCCACAAGACCTGCTCTTCTATCAGTGACATTTTAATCCATCATTGGAATTTCTGGAAAAGAGGGAGGGAAAGAATGCTTGGCTTTTGGGGAGAGAAAAAGGAAGCCAATATTGATTATACTATGTGCCAGGCACAATAGCAAGCACTACCACATAATCCTCTTTTATTCTCCCCTTTCCCTAAATGCCACTGTAGAAACTGATGGCCTAGTGCAAGAAGGTGACTTGTTCTAAATCACATGTTCCTAAAGGACAGAGCCTGGATTTGAAAACCCAGGTCTGTGAACAGAGACAGATGGTGAAGAAGACAAGAAACAGGAAGACATGGTAACTGTTGGTGACCCCCATGCTTGGTCCCATGCCCCTGTGGTTCAGAGGTCCACCTACCCTATAAAGGTAGAAGCCAATGGCGAGGTGAGGCTTCCGCTTGCGGCACCTGTGCCTGGGCTTCTGGAGCAGGGACACCAGTACGCTGCAGGGCCTCAGGGATCTCCTGCCCTCCTCGGGCCTCCAAACAGACAGCAGGAACTGCGGGTTCTTCCAAAATGTGCCTGGGGCAGAACACAGCAAGGTGAGAATGGGCCCCAGATCCCCAAGCATCCTGCTCACCGAACCACTAAGAGGTGAACAGTCCAAGGGTGCCTCTGCCAGGATTGACACCCTGAGGTCCACTGGGACAGAGTCAGGGTCCCCTCAACCTTGACTCTATGTCCTCCCATCTTGCTCTTCCACCTGGAGGCCTTTTCCACCCTGAGGCCCATCGGGACAGGGTCGGGGTCCCTTCAGCCTTGGCTCTATGCCCTCCCACCTTGCTCTTCCATCTGGAGGTCTTCTCCAGACACACTGACTGGAGTTGGTCCCATCACTGTAGCCTCTTTGTCTTGCTCAGTGCCTGGCCCAGGTGTTATACCCCACAGCATGTGCTACCTGAGTAAGCAATCGTATTCACTCCCTGGGGAGGTGACCATGATCCTAGGGGCTTTTGCATTTTAATCGAGGCAAAACCTTAGCTTAAGGTCAGCTTCAGATTTGGGGGGAAATACTGTGTCAAAAGGGGGACTCCAGAGCTAAGGCCACCCTGGCCTACTGAGGTCACACCCCACAGGACTTGCCTTCAAAAGGGATGGCTCATTATCTCCAAAGTGGAGGAAGGGACAGGGTCACCAAACCTGCCCCGTCTTGAGAGTCCACACAGGTTTGTCTCCCATATCTAGGGAGCCTGGGAAGCCCTGGGTTTGTGTTTCTCCCAGGCTCCAGGTGAGAAGGACCCGATACAATTTCTATTTCAATCCTGCCCAGCTAGGGGGTGGTTCTTTCAGTCTTTTCAGTGGCCTTGTCCAAAACTAAAGAAAGATTCTCCCCTGCCCCTGCTTTTACCACGCCTGTGTGCCTGTGATCCCCCAGTGCTGAGGGACAGGGCAACCCTTCAGGAAGATGCAGCCCCACAGGCTGGCAGCTTGACTGAGAGGACTCTGCCTTGGTGCACATTGGGATCAAAGGTCTTCCCTGTGGTCTTCCCTGTGGTCATAGCCCAGCGCCCCAGCACACACTGAGGCAAACAAAGCCTCCTCCCCACTCAGCCAGTGCAGAATTCACGCTGCACCCACCTATGCAGTCACCCTCACACCCCCGCCCACAACCTCACTCTGAGACCCCTGTTCCTGTGCGCATGCTCACCCTGCAGCAATTGTCTCTGGCCACCAGCTGTGCTCCCCTTCTCCCATCTCCCCTCCCTCATGGTGTACGTCCACTTCTGGGCCGCCTCCTGGCTCAATAGGCCTGGGGTCAGTTTACAGATAACCAGGAGCACGAAATGTGTTTTAAAGTCCTGCAGCGTCATCCTGTGGAGAGGAAGAAGGAAAAGCACAAAGGATGGACCAGATAACGCCTAGTCATCAGGACCCATGGGGAGGGTGAGACAAAGCAGTGGGCATCCCAGCCATCTCATGGACAAAGACACCAGCTCTTGTGCAGAGCTGAGCTGGCCATGGGCACATAAGCAGGGGCTGGCTGGATCCCTGTGAGGGTCCATCGTGGGGAGTTGGAGCTACTGAGAAGCCCCACCCTCTGGCTGGAAGGAGCTGGCCACATGACTGACTGGGGGAGATGTTCCTGTTTCTGGAATCACGGTGATAGCAGCTGAATTAAGGCAAAGCTAACTAGTCGTTTGTTTTATCTATAAATGTTCAGTAAGAATTACATATCAGTTCTTAATCATTAATTAATGAAGATCTTTGCCCCTACTTGCTAACTTGTGGCCTGCAACACTCTATTTAAGCTGTCTGATGCTCAGTTTACTTAACCATAAAGTGGAAAAAACAGGAATTTGCAGGGCTTGAGTTCAGTGAAAGACCTTCCAAAGGGAGAGGGCTGCGGCAGGCTGTACTGGATGGTTAATGGGGAGAGTCCTCGGAACGAGGGTTGACATTCATAGTAACAGTGGTGAGCAAAAGCAAAGGAGAACTGATGGGGCCCGTTTCAGACACCTAGAAGCAGCATCAGCTCAGGATGTCTTGGTGGCCTTTCAAAAAATGAGATGAGCAGCTCCAGAGTGGGTGGCAGTGTTACTCTGCTCCAGAGGGCACTGGTTGGGGGCCTATCCTATGGCAAGACTTTGCAGTCTCTTCCTACCTCACGGCCTTTTCAGGACAAAAAGGCAAAACCTGTTTTGAATATATTGAGCAAGAGAGCAGAGAGGAAGCCAGAGAGGAGGAAACAGGCTGGCAGAGCCCTCGCTGAGCTCCACCCCAGTGGCCTCTACTCTCATCACAGAGACAGTGACCATTTATTTATAGTCGCTGTTTGTCCTGCTAGACCGTGAGCTCCTAAAGGGATGGTGCCTTACTGATCTCTGTACATGAGGTTCCTGACACCCATGAGGCATCCAGTAAATGTCTGCTGGATGGGTTTTCAAATGTAGGCCAGGACATTTGTCCAAGTCCCCAAGTCCAATACCAGAATTCTCCATCATTGTCTTTCCTCAGAAGCAGAATCTTCTCCTTGGGGCTCAGCAGCTCCCATTTACTTGAACTGAAAATGGAAAAGGGAATGAAAAGCTTGTGGGGGGCATGCTAGAAATTCTTTAGTAAAAGCTCTATAGTATCATTATTTATTATTATTTTCATACTACTTCAGACAACTAAATTTCCCATTTCATATCATACAGTAGCATGAGCATTAATTGATAGCTTACTATGAGCCAAGCGCTGGGCTAGGTTATTGACATACATTATTTCATTCAAGGCTAACAACGACTTTGTTGTTCTCATTTTAGAGATTAGGAAATTGAAGTTAAGAGAGATTAGGTCATTTGCTTGAAGTCACAAATCTATTAAATGTCAGAGGTAACATCTGAAATTGTTTTCAGATATTGGACAGCAGGCAACAGGGGTCCATGATCCTGGGAGGCTGGAAACAAATGAGGCAAGCCCTAACATCACCTAGGCTTTCTTCCTGAAGGTAATTTCCTGGCCAGTGCTACAGGGAGAGGGACTCAAAAAAGAACCTATCAGTAGGGCTAAGTGGAGGAGACAGAATCTGGAGTTCAGGGAGATCAAGATAGCCAGAATTTGCTGGACAAAGTATCTGAGAGGGGGCTACACAAAAAAAGGAGTTCCAGGAAACTTCACAGGTGTTCCCTTGCGTCTTTGGCTGAGCTTTAATCTGTGCTTTCTTAAAGTGAAACTCCCGAAGACTGGACCATAAGCAGGACACAGTGCTGGGAATCTCAGGCATTCCCACCAGACAAAGTTAAAAGACTTTATTTATTTATTTACTTATTTTTGAGACAGACTCTCACTCTGCCACGTAGGCTGGAGTACAGTGGTGCGACCTCAGCTCACTGTAACCTCCACCTCCCGGGTTCAAGCAATTCTCCTGCCTCAGCCTCCCAAACAGCTAGGATTACAAGCACATGCCACCACACCTGGCTAATTTTTGTATTATTAGTAGAGATGTGGTTTCACCATGTCGGCCAGGCTGGTCTTGAACTCCTAACCTCAAATGATCTGCCTTCCTTGGCCTCCCAAAGTGCTGGGATTACAGGCGTGAGCCACCGTGTCCAGCCAAAAGACTTCATTGAATACATGGAATCTTTACTAGAGATCCCAGAGGGTCTACAATTTAGTAGTGGAATCAAATTATCCCTGACATAAAGGTTTGTCTTGACCTTCCCTAAAAGTGCTTAAAAACTTCAAAGTATCAAAACAATCCCTAAGCAATGTAACCACCTACTTTAAAAAGAAAAGTCCAATACTCTTTAAAGAAATACGATAAAATTCAGTACTCTGAAACTAAAATTTACAATGCCCAGCATGCAATAAAAAGTTATTAGCCTATGAAGAAGCAGGAAATATGATCCGTGACCAGGTATAAAAAAATAGTCCATAGAAACCACCATAGAAATGAGAGAGATGATGGAATTAGCAGACAAGAACATTAAAACAGCTATTACAAAAGGGCCCCATATTCTCAAGGATGTCAAGAGAAACATGGACATAAAAAAGGGAGAAATGGAAGATAATCTCAAGTGGAATTTCTAGAATTGAAAATATAATATTTAAAATGAAAAATATACTGGATGGGATTAACAGCAGATTATACACTACAAAATAAAAGCTCATCATTTTGATATTCACTATACCTCTAGATCCAAGAAATTAAGAAGCTTGCCTGAACTAAGATCACACAGCTAGGCAGTGACAACACTGTAATTTTACCCATCATCTATCTCTGATTTCAGTGCTTGTTCCTCTATGAAAGAAACCGCCACCAGCAACAATAGGATGCTAGATTTCTGTAACACTTTAAAACTTAAGTATTTCTTAGATGACATTTTCCCACATAGATCCAGTTCCTCTAACAACTCTGTTTACTAATGTGTAACAAATAAAATGCAGCATATTTTATCAAGAGGAATATTTGACTTATGTTTCTAAGCCTTCATTTTTTCAATGTAAAAATGATTAAGTGATAATGTGTATATGGACATGTTTGTAGACTCTAAAGACCTGTAAAGGATTAAGTATTATAAATCTTCATAATGACAGAACAAAGGACTTTAGGACTTGACCTCCCTTTCTGCCTGTACCCTACAGCCAGTGTCTAGCCTGCAAAACCTGCATTTCTTTAGGGCTGCCATTAGGCAGAAACAACCTAAATGTAGGTATCTAATCAGTAATCAGAGTGTAGAGTCCAATCCAAATCTGTCTACCTTTAACTCAGCAAACCCAGGAGTGTACTGAACCATGCCAGGGAAAGACACTGAACCCAGGCACCAAAGACCTTGGTTGAGTCATGCTGTATGACCTTAGGCAATTCAATTAATCCAAGTTTTCTCTATTAGTAAAATGGGGATAAAACTATCTACTTTGTAATAGCGTTGTTGGGGGATTAAATGAGATAATAAAAATTCAAAGGTTTAGCACAGTGCTGGCAAGCCCTCAAATAAACATTAGCTTTAATTATTATAATGAAAGAGAAAGCAGTCTATATACCATAAAACATCTTATAAATGTGAGGGATTGAGCCTCCCAGTCTGAAGGCTTCCTGATCCTGCCTAAGATCAAAGGAAGCACACATTTGAATCTGCGCGTGAATGGCAGCCTCCTTTGCCTACACCTACCCGTTCTCACCCCTCCAAGATGTCCCCAAAGTTCACCTGTCACTCCAGTCTCCTTTCCATTCCACCTGTCCCCACGGGTTCCGTAGTTTGACAAGATATTCAGGTCTATGTTTGCAGGTCACCTGCATAAAACAAGAGGCAGTTTAGGTGGCCAGGCTGAGTGCAAGCATTTCAGAGAGCTGAGTGAGACTCGGGCCTGGAGCTGAGCACTTGCAGTGGAAAATCACAGGCCCAGAGAGAGCTAGTAGAGGAGAAAGTGGCTCTGCTTCTTGTACTTACAAGCTGTGAGACCTAGGGCAAGTCACCTAACCTCTCTGTGTCTCTATTTCCCGATCTGTGAAATAAAGTCAATAGTCATACCTACGATAGTGGGTTGAATGGTGATCTTCCCTCCCCAAAGAGGATACGTACACTCAGAACCTGTGAACGTGACCCTATTTGGAAAAAGGATCTTTGCAAATGTAATTAAATTAAGGACCTGGAGATGAGGTAATTATGGATTAGGGTGGGCCCTGAATCCAAAGACAAGTGTCAGGAGAGGACACAGAGAAGGCCACGTGAAGATGGAGGCAGAGACTGGAGTTATGTAGACCAAGTCAAGGAACACCTAGAGCCACTGGAAGGTGGAGGAGGCAAGAAGGGATTCGACTCTTCCCCAGAGCCTTCAGAGGGAGCATGCCCCTGCTCACACCTTGATTTCAGACTTCAGGCCTTTGGAACTGAGGAAATTAATTTCTGTTGTTTTCAAGTTCCTCTCCGCCAGACATTTTATGGTAATTTGTTGTGGCAACCTTAGGAAACCAGTAGACCTTGTGAAAGGAAAATAAATCTTGGGACCCCAAAATCACTAATCTAAAGGGAAAAGTCAAGTTGGGAACTGCTTAGGGCAAACCTGCCTCTCATTCTACTCAAAGCCACCCCTCTGCTCACTGAGATAAATGCATATCTGGTTGCCTCCTTTGGAAAGACTAACAGAACTTGAAAGAATGCAACCATTTGTCTCTTATCTACCTATGACCTGGGAGCCCCCTCCCTGCTTCGAATTGTCCCACCTTTCCAGATGGAACCAATGTTCACCTCACATATGTTGATTGATGTCTCATGTTATAAAACCAAGCTGTTCTCTGACCACCTTGGGCACATGTCGTCAGGACCTCCTGAGGCTGTGTTAAAGGCGTGCATCCTCAACCTTGGCACAATAAACTTTCTAAATTAACTGAGACATGTCTCAGATACTTGGGGTTCACAACCTACTCAGAGTATTGCTCTGAGGGTGAAATGAGTCCACATTTGTAAGGCAGTTAAACAGCATTTAGCACACAGTAAGTGTTGTATAAATTTTGTTAATAAATGTGGAAATAAATTAAAAGCTCTGGGCACACAGACCAATATGGTTATTGGAGATCTAGAAGGAAGAATTTAAGTGTGAACTGAATCCAAGAAATTTGAAACAGAGTTAAAGGAAATTGGAGGACTTGGGAGGAGTCGGGCCCTCTAGAGATTATCAGAGGTTCTTTAACTTAAACCTGCTGACTTCTTATCTCCATGCTTTGCTTACACTGCTCCCTCCACCAGAATGCCCTTCTTGCCCCATACAAATCTACCTATTTCGAGGACCAACTCAATGTCACCTCCCCTGTAAGAGACTCTTCTGACTTCTCCCCAACCCAACTCGATGGAGGTCTTTTCTCTTATCCATGAATTCCTAAAGTCTTTCATCTACACCTTCTTCTCTCAGTTTCAACTTTGCTTCCTCCTCATTTTCAGATATGGTTTGTGACCATACCTGACTGTAAGCCCTTTGTAGGCAGGTCCTGCCTGGTGCATCTTCCTCTCAATGCCTAGTAAAGCTCAAAAGATGGATAGCAGCGGAGACGGTCATAAAGAAGCATGTGAGAGAGGAGTAGAAATTTGGGAGGAAGAACCAGACGAAACGGTTGTTCTTGGCATACCAGAGTGAAGCAAAGTTCAAGGAAGGGTTGTGAGGTACAGCAGGGTGGGAGGATGGTTGGCTGAGGGCTGCCCCAGGGGATGAGATTGGGATGATGCACTGGCATTAGCAAAGGATGGACCCACCACTTCACCCCAGGAAATAGGTGCAGAGGCACAGGGACCCACCAAAGACTTTACTCACTCTCCAGATGGTGCAGAAACTAAATCCACCAAGATAAGCTAGGGCCCAGAGAGGGAAGGGCAAGGCTGAGAGGGAAACCAAGCGGCCGAACTCAACCCACCTTCCTGATTCCTGTGACAGTATAGGCATGGCCTTCCACCAGCCCATTCTCCAGAATCTTCTCCTTCTGCAGAGACAAGAGAGGTTCTGATCAGTCTTCTGTTATGTACCGCTTATTATTTTAGTAACGTATGAAAAACTCTGTATTTGGCTGGAGCAGGGGTTTATGGAGAGAAGTGTGGGAGATAATCATGGTATGGTACATTGCAGTTTTCAAAGCTCTTTGGTATCCATAGTCTCATTCCACCCTCTCAATAAGTGAGCCATTCTGCAGTGATCATGTCATACCCTCCATTTTACAGAGGACAAACTCTATTTAGAGTTGCTGAGTAAATGTGTGAGGTGACACATCTGGCCATTAGTGAAGGCAGGGCTGAACTGAGGGCTTCCTATTCCTGTTCCATGGTTTTGGTTGTTATCAAATAGGATGTGGAAAGTGTCTTGCATGTAGCTGGCACTTAATAATTGTTAGCTTCCTTCTCTGCACATCATGTTCTTTTTCCTAGTGTCTCGCCTGTCCTGAGGCCCCAAACACTACTGCTCCGGTTTTTTTTGGTTTTGTTTTTTAAAACAGAATTTCTCTCTTGTTGCCCAGGCTGGAGTGCAAGGGTGCGATCTTGGCTTACTGCAATCTCCGCCTCCCAGGTTTTAGTGATTCTCCTGCCTCAGCCTCCCAAATAGCTGGGATTACAGGTGACCACCACCATGCCTGGCTAATTTTTGTATTTTCAGTAGAGATGGGGTTTCACCATATTGGCCAGGCTGATCTCGAACTCCTGACCCCAGGTGATTTGCCTGCCTCAGCCTCCCAGAGTGCTGGGATTACAGGCGTGAGCCACTGCACCTGGCCTTGCTGCTCTGGCTTGAACACCAGGACCTCAGCAGTAGGAGCTGGGTGGAGGTCCTGAGCCCACACCCAGGTGAGGGCAATGGTGGCTGATGGAGGGAATAGGTGCAGGAGAAGAGGACATTCTGCCAGTGGCAGCCCAGTCTCACCCCTGAGTGGGTCTGGCAGCCAATGAGGGTTCTGTTGTAGGTGGCTTTGGTGAGGATGTCCCAGAGGTTGCCATGGGCTTCTGCCAGGTTGATGGTCATTGTCACCCCTCCAGTGAAGTCTACAAGTGCTTCAGACACCTGTCCTGATTGCAAGTCTTCATAGGAACCAGAAAGCCTAGCCAGGGAAGAAATAAACATGAAAGGAAAAAGTATCATGAGTATTTATCATTTTATGTGGCCTCAGCATCCACTTTTAAACAGGAGTTTAGTTTTCTCATACCAAAAGCAGAGCTCTGGCAACCCCGACATAGTTTCCAATACCATACCTATCCTGAGTGGCTTCAGCTGATGGTCACAGACAAAACTTAGAGGCATCTCTCCTGCCTAGAAGACTGGGAACCCCTCTTTCCCACCACTTCCTTTAAATGGACCACTCAGATGTTTGCCTGAGAACTTAGTGACCACCTGTCAACACAGCGAGATCTCCTGGAACTAGTGCCTGCTTGCTTTGAACCTATCAATTAAAGCTGCTCACGGGAAACCTCTTTGGACAACACCCTGGACTCAAGAAAAGGCATGGGTCCACCACGGGTCCATTTTTCCTCTTTCTGCCTGGGCTCCCTGACTTCCACGTGCATGTGTGCATATATGTGTGTGCATGTGTGTGTTTGTGTGTGTGCATGTGTGGGTGTGCATGTGTGTGTGTTTGTGTGTGTGTATGTGTGTGCATGTGTGTACATGCATATCTGTGTTCGTGTGTATGTGCATTTGTGTGTGCATGCATGTGTGTGTATGCATATCTGTGTTCGTGTGTATGTGCATTTGTGTGTGCATACATGTGTGTGTATGTGCCCTCCATGCATGCCAAGTACCCTCTAGGGTCTGTAGGTATGAAAAACTCTTAAACTTTCATGTTGCGGTTGTGTGGTTGAAGCTGTGCCCACAATCCGACCGCTGATGATCAGGCTGCCCCACAGGGACCCAAGCAGGTGGATCCCCTCCTGCTGCTCCTTCATCCAGGCCTCTTAGCTGCTGGGGACAGCAGTGATCTCTAGGTTGAGAGTTTCATTCAAAACAAAAGGAAGGGGCATTTAAACTGTAGATTAGATGGTCCGAATGAGAAGTGAAACCTTTGCTTAGGTATTCTTTGGGTGTATCTTACTACTCCTACCTTCCATCCCAGGAGCAAAGGAGAGAATAGACACTCAGAGCTCCTATCCCCCTTAATTCCATCCATTAGGGAAAGGCAAAACTCTTGAATGCAGGTTTAGAAGAGGTGACCCCTACCTAAAAGACTCTGAATACGTTGTCACTTCTATGTCGACTGAGACATGCCTCAGGATCTCATTTCATAAACTTTACCTGACTCCACTCCCCTCCTTCAACATTGAGAGAGAGAAAAAGAAGCGATAGGAAGGGGGATATTTCTGCTGGTTTCTTACTTGGCATAGGCCTTTTCCAGAAGTGCTCCCCAGAACAAGTTCTTGTAGGTGGAGGAGACAAAGAGCAGCTGGCCAGCCTCATTTACGGGCAGGCGGTCATCGATCACCACAGGAACCCACTTCCCGTAGTGCCAGAACTGGAGGGAGAGAGTGGCCCCGGGTGAATGAGGACTGCTGCAGGTGGTGATCAGCCCAGAAGGTGAAGACGTGGTCCTCTAGGAACCCTCTTTCCTATGGCTCCCTCCAGGCCGACGGCCCGGGAAGACACTCACCCAGAACAGGAAGATGCCAGCATACTTCTCAGTGAAACTCTGATTCAGGGGAACAACCCTGCTCAGGATGTCCTGGTGCAAGGTCAGAGCTTGCAAAGCAGCCAAGAACCAGCAGTCTCCTAAGTCAGACAGCACACAGCATCTGCATGAATCTACTGGGGACTTCATGCCTGCAGGAAATGCCCGGTCCCTATGGCTACCCTCTCTGGGCTTGTAACCTAGTTTCAGAGAAGGGAATTATATACTGGGAAGGCAGATGATGAGTGAGCAGAGCGGGAGGCTGGGAGCACTGGCTGAAATCCAGCTTGACACCAAAACCAGAGCCATGTTCCTGGACCAGTTTTTAGATTCCTGAATGCCCTATCCTCAGGAATTTGGAACTGAACTCCATCCACTTTTTCCAAATCTTGCCTCTGAAACTGATTTACGTTCTTCTGGGAAAGCCTCAACCCTTCAGGACCCTATTTCCCTGTCTGTGAAATGGATATCGCTGGACTTGGTTGGGCCTTCCCTGATGACCAATTTACTATTTTAAAAAGGTAGAGTTGAGGATAGATCTGCTTTGATCCTATTCTGGGGAGGCTAATGACGCTGTCTTAAGAAGGTCCCACTGTGGGAGCTAAAATAGAGTGAGCACATTTTCCAAACTTAGAATTTAGACCTGTAAACTGGTAATGAGGATTATGTGAGGACTTAGGCAGGGTACGCATTCCCACGCATCCTCAGAGGACCAGTTTTTGTAAACTTCACAGCAAAGAACAGAGCACGTCCAGGTAGCCTTCAGGGTTTGCCAGTGAATAGCCACTTTGGGCCTCTCTCCAGTGGGGATCTCTGGATTCTCTTCTTCATCATCCACTCTGTCTTGGCCAGGCCTGGCCAGCAGGCAGCCTAGTGTCTGTCTCCCAGGGCTGTGCAAACTTACCTACCATGCCCTGGCACAGATCCAGCCTTTTGGTCTTGGCAAAATAAAACTGGGGATTGCTGTGCAGCTCCTGGGGGAGACAAACGGAACTGTCATTCTGACCTGGAACAAAAAAGCTCCTGGAGCTACAGTGACCATGTTTTCCCATACCCCCAAACTGGACTTATGGGGACAAAGATACAGAATATATGTGTAATCAGTGCTGTCCCAGAAGATCTGGGATACAGAATTCTGTCCTTTTTATTTCTCATTCCTTCTTACAGCTTGTGTAAGTCAGAGCCCTGGACTCTGTAGATATTGAGAAATAGCACTTATACCAAAAATGCCTTTTCTTAGAGTTTCTATTAAAAATGGAAACACTTTTATAGGAGGCATTTTCAGTTTTCCTAGAGATCTTCTCTTTCTCTTTACTCTCCCCTACTCCTCCTTCCTATTCCTGACCTCTAATAAGATGGTCTCTTTGGCTTTTCCTGCTGAGATGCAGCCTGGGGTGGGGTGGTAGGGGGGTGGTTTCTGCTCCGTGGCAAGATTTATATCCTTCAGTCTTTGCGTGGACACAGTTTCCCCAAGAGTCAGTTGTAGAACAGAGTCTCTATGTCAGCAGTTCCCAGGATTTTCTGAGAGAAGTGGGATCTTGGCTGCCATGTAGTTTAGGAGGCTCACTGCAGATTTTACACGCAGTAGGGACTTCACAAGTCTGGGGCTGCAGGTATCCATGGTGATGGGTGAGTAGGGAAGAGAAAAGGAAACTCTGTGGCACAGGGTGAACTTTACCCTATTCGCTAGGCGTGCTCCTGAAATCTTGTATGTAAGTGAAGTTTCAGGGAGATGGATTACATTTGAACACATTAAGAAGTTGCTTTTTAAAGGAATTGATGCATTTTATAGAGTGAAGAATATTTTTCTAAAGTGATTAATAGCTTCTTAATTTACATGTTTCATGAGCCTGTTTAGGGGGGAGTAATTTGGAGAGATGTTAAAATTTATCTCTCTGCCAGATGGTATTGGCTGTGACTCAGGAAGCCTTGCCATCTCAGATGAAGCTAAACAATACCTTGATATATTTTTGGCTATAGCTATTCTGCATATTTCTGGGCAGGACTGAGGGAGGGCTACATCTTAGACCACTCTCAAAATCACCCCTGGTTTTCTCCATCTGGAAAATGAGAATGTGGGAATGTACCCAGTTCCCTTCTCATGGAGATCAATGACAGTAAGACCTGGTGTGATATCGTGAAATACATATTTGGTCTTCATTTACTCAGTTTTCTGACATTCAGCTCCTAAAACCTTGGGAATCTCTAGAGTGGTAAGAGTGTCCTTTGTATGTTAATGATTGACTGGTGACTGGTGGTCCCTAGGTAGCTTCAGGATAGGGTCTGGTCATTGGAAAGACCAAGGCAGGTTTAGAAGGTTGGGACTTTCGGCCCCACCCCCTGACCTCTGGGGAGGGGAGGGAAACTGAAGGCTACGTTGATCACCAAAGGCCAATGATGTAATCAATCATACCTAGGTAATAAAGCCTCCATAAAAACCCAAAAGGACAGGGTGTAGGGAGCTCTGGATATCTGAACACATGGAGGTCCCTGGAAGGTGGCACACCCAGGGAGGGCATGAGAGCTCCACACCCCTTCCCCATGCCTTGCCCTATGCATCTCTTCCACCTAGCTGTCATCTGCATCCTTGTAATACCCTTTATAATAAATCACTAAATGTAAGCGAAGCATTTCCCTGAGTCCTGTGACCCTCTCTAGCAAATTAATCAAACCCAAGGAAGGGATCATGGGAACCACAGTCCTGATTTATGGCCGGTCATGAGAAGTACAGGTCACAACCTGGGACTTATGATTGGCATCTGAAGTGGGGACAGTCTTATGGGATGAACACTCAACCTGCGAGATCTGACACTGTCTCTAGGTAGACAGTGTCGGAATTAAATTTCATTACAGAATACCCAGATGGTGGCCACCAGAGAATTGCTTGGCATATGGGGAAAACCTCCCACACATCTGGTGTTAGAAGAGTGTGTTGTGTTGAGTGGAGAGGAGAGAGTAGGAAAAAGCCTGGTTTTTTTCTCCCATATAACTTAGGTGTAGTATCTGAAAGCCTAAACCCTGGGGCAGGAGGGTCTGGGCTGACACATTTTGCCTCACCGGGGGCCTCTTCCACTGCAGGCGGGGTGGCAGCTTCTGCAGCAGAGAGTCGCTGCCGATGGAGCTCAGGGTGGCCGGGAAGCTGGTGTCTTCAAAGAGGCAGCCATTCCTCAGGCACTCTGCCAGCAGGGCCTCGAAGTCCTGTTGGGGGAGCTGTGGAGAGGCCCTCCTAGAGTACCTTGGCCCCAGCTTCCATCCGCATCGGAAAGGTGGCCACAGAGACATGGCAGGCAGTGGGTACAGTCCTGTGAGTCTTCCTGAGGAGTCTCTCCTGCTCCTGAAATGGACAGAGGACGGTCAGTTTCCTCCTTTCCTGCTTGTGCTTTGCCATTGCCACAGAGAGGAGGGGAAGGATGGAGAGAATGGGAGCGGAGAAGTCAGCTGGTGAGAAAGAGACAGAAGCAGGCGGTTCGATTTTGTCCCAGACAGTGGGGGTCCTTGAGCACTTGCTCAAGCGCTTGAGGACCTGGTGGGGGATCAGGGATCTTGTGGCAAAAGCTTACAGAAGGGAAAGGTCTCTCAAGCCTCAGGGCTGAGTCCTAGGCCCCTGACTGCCCCAATGTCACAGGGGTCCCTTCTGCTTAGTGGGGAGGCAGGAGAAGAGAAGCAGGAAGCTGGAGCTCAGCCCCCTGGGCTGGAGGGTCCTGTGCCTGCCAAGGTAGTGGGGAGTAGTGGCTGTCTGCTCAGGGCCTCCACCAGGCCTGCCAGCTCCTGCCTCCCAGCTACAGACACACAGCCTTCCTCCTGCTTCAACGTCCTCCTTATTCTTCCCTGCAAAACCTCCTCCTACATTATCTTTTTTTTAAGAAAAAAAATTTTAGTTTTTTGAGACAGAGTCTCATTCTGTTGCCCAGGCTGGAGTGCAGTGGCACGATCTCAGCTCAATGCACCCTCTGCCTCCCAGGTTCAAGCGATTCTCCTGCCTCAGCCTCCCAAGTAGCTGGGATTAGCAAGGCCGCAGGAGATGCTGGGGGCCAGCAGCCTCTGCGCGGGGGCCTCCCAAGGACGTCTCTCCCATCCCAGGAGCCCCTGGGTGCGCTCCGGGTCGGGGTAAAGCCCCAGGCTCCAGCACAGGGTGCGTTGGTCTCTCATGGAAGGCCCCCATGGGCAGTTGCGGGCCCTGGCAGGGCTGCAGGTTGGCGTGGGCAGGCCAGCAGAGCACCAGATACAGACGCCCGCCACCACACCCAGCTAATTTTTGTATTTTTAGTAGAGATGGGGTTTCGCCATGTTGGCCAGGCTCGTCTCGAACTCCTGACCTCAAGTGATCAGCCCGCCTTGGCCTCCAAAACTGTTGGGATTACAGGCATGAGCCACCATGCCCAGCCTACATTCTCTTTAAAAAGAAATCCTTCGTTGAAGACTTTCTTGCTAATGTAAAAGGGGGAAAGAAATCACACACACATATTGTGGCAAATACCAACAATTGCCGGTACATGCCCATTCTCCCTTTTTCCTTGTTAACAGAATTTCCTGTTTTGATAACCTGGCTACAAAACTTGATTTCCTGGAGCTTCTTGCAGGACAGGTTGGCTACACAATATAGTTTTTCATTTTACAGTTGCAAAACCATGAATCTTATCCAGCCCCACCCCCCACCCCCACCCCTCCATTTTTCAGGTGTTACAACTGAAACCTGTCCATTCATTCATCAAAAATTTTACTGGGAACTTACCATTTGTCAGGCTTGAGCTAGGCACTGCTCACCAAAGACAGTCCCTGCCCTCATGGCTCTTACAGATTAGAGGCTGGGAGAGCGGGAAGGGTTAAATATCTTTCTGGTGCTATACAAGGAGATTTTATAAGGGTTGTATCCAGAACCCAGAGCCCTGACTCCCATAACAATATTCAGCTCTCAGTGCTACAAACTGCCTATTACACCCAGCACAGTGTTTGGGACAGAATGTACATGCACTAAAAGTAACTCGCAAACATGCTTATACTGAGTGTGAGTACTCCCTCATGGCTGTAGGAGTGACCTGGGGTCCTCTCCATTTGTCAAGGTCCTGCCCATCCCCCAAAGTCTAACTAGTCCTTTCCCCAGGAAGCCCTCCTTGAGTGCCTGGCATTCACTGAGACCCCCTCTGTCTATTGACCCACTGTCTACCCCATTGGGCACCCTACTGTCTTGGTGCTTCTCAAATTATCACTAGTGAAGGGCCTATGTTCTTTTATTTCCAATTTGTCATAGAAATTTAATGAAAATGAATAAATAGAAACACACAATTTCAAAAGATGTATAGAATCAAGCCCCCCTTTACAATTTTTTCAGGTCAGGTGCAAGGGCTCACATCTGTAATCCCAGCACTTTGGGAAGCCAAGGTGGGCAAATCACTTGAGCCCAGAAGTTCAATACCAGCTGGGGCAACATGGCAAAGCTTCATCCACGTAAAAATACAAAAATTAGCTGGGTATGGTGGTGCATGACTGTGGTCCTAGCTACTTGGGAGGCTGAGACAGGAGGATCACTTGAGCCAGGAGGTGGAGGTTGCAGTGAACAGAGATGGCGGCACTGCACTCCAGCCTGGGCAACAGAGCAAGACTCTGTTTCAAAAAAAAAGAAAAAATTAGCGCCAACAAAAATTAAATTAAATTTAAATTATTTGATCAATTGCTATAAAAGTTTCTAAACACTTGCTGTCAGTTTTGTAGGTGGCTCACCAAGCACTGCTGGTGACCGGTTGGTGGAGTGGCCCCACTGTGGTTCTGCTCTGAGTGATGCATGCATAGAAGCCTCTTCTGCCTAATACTGGCTTTTGAATCCCCTGCAGGATTAGCACTGCTGGAATGTTGTTTGTCTCACACCCTTACCTCTGAGACCTGAGGGCAGTCCATTCCTGGCTATTCTTATTTGTCACGGGTGCCTGTGTACTTCCTGGAGGAAGACCTAGCCCCCTTCTAACCCAGGTCACAGAGACTCAAAAGCTGTTACTCAGGTCTTGTGTTTTACCCTGGAGTTTCTTTTTTTTCCTAATGTGGATGAGTAGGTAAAGCTTCCCCCAGGCTTACCCCATTTTCTTCCCAAAAAGTTTCTTCTACCACCGTACATTTATAAACAAACTTGAGACCTCACAAAGGCAAGGTCTCCCTTTTTACCCCTTCAAGCCTTTACAACAATCCTTTACTGCTTGTTCTGTGAAAAATGATAGAGGGTCCCCTGGCTTCAGAACCTCACTCAGGCTCATGCCCTCCTTACCCAGTGCTGGGTCACACTTGGATTAAATACTACATCTCGTGACAAGCACAGTACATCATGGGCTCAGGAGACAAAGGTTCTTCTCACCCTCCAAAGTTTAGAAAGAGGCCACACGTGTGCACGCGCACACACACACACACACACACCTTATTTTTAAATAAATATTTCTAAGTCACCTTAGGGAGAATATAGGCCCAGATGAAACCAGTTGGCAGTTCTTGCATGTTTCCTATATATTACAAACCATGGATGAAATGGGCTCATTTTCAGATTGGCACAGCTCTCTGCAAAGGGCCAGATGGGTCTAGGTCACATTTGGAAATTCATTTTGACTACTGTAAGTGAGCAGCGTTGGAGCAGGTCCACAAAATAAGACTATGCAAATAGATTGGTGAAGGTCAATGGGGCTCAAGCTATTTAAGAATGTGCAGCCTAAAAGCATCCTCCTTGGGCCTCAGAGTTCTTTCCTTGGCTCCCCATAAGCTGCTAGGCTGTTCTGCAGTGTTTTGCATGTCAGGATTATTATTTTTTTTAAAATTAGAGACAGGGTCTCACTCTGTCACCCAAACTAGAGTACAAGGACATGATCATAGCTTACTACAGCCTTGAACTCCTGGGCTTAAAGGATCCTCCTGCCTCAGCCTCTTATGTAGTTAGGACTACAGGTTCAGGTTCATGCCACCATGCCCAACTAACCTTTTTTTTTTTTTTTTTTTTTTTTTTTTTTTGTAGAGATGAGGTCTTGCTATGTTGCCCAGGCTAGTCTCTAACTCCTGGCCTCAAGTGATCCTTCCACCTCAGCCTCCCAAAGTGCTGGCATTACAGGCATGAGCCACCGTGCCTGTCCAAAATTTATTTATACTCAGGAAGTAAATAGAGAGTCAGGCTTCAATCTTCACTTCTTCCATGCTGGCTATTCTCCCCTTATCTATAGATGCTGGGTGCTAGGGAGGGCATTATGATGGTGAGAGGTATCAAATAACCTGGTGCTCAGATCACCTAAGTGTCTTGATCCAGAGGAGGAGGCCTTTGAACGCTAACTGGCTCATGAACATCAGGAGCATCACCAGACAAGACACCTGGGGATACACCAGCCAGCAGTGCAAACTCCAAACCCCAATCCCTGTACGCAGGCAGGGTTTCCTCATCTCTCCTGATAACCCTCTGCCTATTTAACATGTTAGTGTTTATTAAAAGGTACACGGGAACATTTTAAATGTGGGAGAAGGAACAGACTCTAGATACACCTTGTGTCAAAATTTACTCCTTCAGGTGGGTCTCAGTGGTATTTCAGTAGCCAGTGTGAGCAAGATGATAGGAGCCAGCTGTGCACATCTCTTCCCAAGTCTGTATTCCATCATGCCATGTTAGTACCTTGCAATTGGCCATCGTGAGAGTGTCCATACCATGGAACTGGTAAATGCTACAAATCAGAGCTCCTTGGCCTTAAAAAAAAAAAAAAATTGAGAGCTAGTTGTTGAATATTACCAGCACAGCACTGGTCAACCTTAAGATAGCAGATTGCCTGGTCCTATGGGACTGTCCACTTGGAAGTTTCCCTGTTGTCCAGGAATATAGAGAGTCCATGGCCACTGGTGAGAATCTGTGAAGGCTTTACAAAGGGTGGTGTTACAACTCATTTGGAAAGAGAGGTTGATATCAGTGAAAACATTGACTCTGACAAACTGGAGAGAAATTAATACTATATCCCTGCTATTAAATGTTCAGTCAGACTGCAGGTTTTTATATATTTGTTCTAATCACTTTAAAGTCAGAAGAATTAGTTTTCACTTAGCTATGAGTTGACTTATTTTCATTTTAAAATCCAAATAACATATATTGATTGTGGAAAAATCAAGGGAAAGAAAGGAAATATAAATTACCCATATTCCCACTACTCAATGATAGCCATAGTTAAAATTTTAATGTATACTTTTAGAGAAAATTTTCTATGCTTAATTATTTTCTAATGAAAGTGAATATAATATTATACATTGTGTTTTACACTTTTACTTGACAATATCTAATGAATACTTGTCTTTGCCAATAAGTTGAATATACAAGAACACATTTAATTATTGCAAAATATGCCAAATCATAAGTCAACCAAAATTTATTTTTAAAATCTACTGTTTCTGGAATTTCATGTTATTTCTTCTTTTTAACTAAACAGTGACGGTATTACTAGAGTTTATGTCTTTGAGCATATCCTAATTATTTTCCTAGGATAAATTAGGGCTAGAATGAAATTTATTTAACCTAAGAAAAGATATTTACTAAAAAAATCTAGAGGAACACCATACTTTCTGAGGAAAGATAAAAGATATTTCCTTAAAATAAACAGAAGATAAGAATGCTGATTACTACCATTCTTAATCACTTTTAATTGTAATTCCTAGTTAAGCCAATAAAACAGAAAGAAAGAAAAGAAAGAGAGAAAGAAAGAAAGAAAAAGAAAGAAAGAAAGAAAGAAAGAAAGAAAGAAAGAAAGAAAGAAAGAAGAAGGAAGGAAGGAAGGAAGGAAGGAAGGAAGGAAGGAAGGAAGGAAGGAAGGAAGGAAAGAAAGAAAGAAAGAAGAAGAAAGAAAGAAAGAAAGAAAGAAAGAAAGAAGAAAAAAGAAAGAAAGAGAGAGAGAGAAAGAAAGAGAGGGAGGAGGGAAGG